CCTACTACTATATTAGGCAAGAATAAAGCGCCAGTCTAGGGCTACCAAATGAGCTACTAAACTTCTTGATTGGGTAATATTTGGCTGAAATAATTAGAAAAAACGATCCCGAAGGTGGAGACCCGTTTACCACACTAGTGGTGCAGAGCGTTGGGTCGGGTTGGGTGGGGCGTTCAGCTTACTGATGTTTCCAGCTTACTGATAGAACACGTTAGATAAAAATTAAATTATATAATAAGCTTAAGATATACTTAAGCTTAGCTTTTATTTATCTACTTTAGATATATAGTTCTCTATTCTAGCTACTTATCTTAATATATCTTAAGTCTATTTATGCTTACTTACTAGAATTATATCTATTTATACTTACCTTATCTGAGTTGAGCTTAAGGCATCGTGCAGTGTTGAGCTTTGCCGCGACACGAGCCTAACCATACCTTTCGATACGCCACCTCTTAGGCCGCCACCGCCATTCTTCAAGACGCATTTCATCAATCTAACTCCTTCAAACTTGTCGTTAACTCCTGACTGGACAAGCCTTTCGTTTCGCTGTTCCGCTTAAGCCTACCCATATTCTAGCTCATTTTCGCACTTGCCTCTAGCATATGCTATACCATCGAGCTCTCAAATGGTAACGGACGCGGAGATGGATCAGGGAGCTTTGTTTTCTCCCAAGTCAAATTCAGTGCGACACTCGTCACTCTCATCATCAATCGCACAACTGTGCGATACTGCCGATTCTCGTGGATAGTGAACTGGACACTGACGGTTTTCTGAGTTGCCTTTCTCGCAAATATTTGCAAGGTATACCTTGAAAGGGATGGGGAACAATAGAGCCAGCGTTTGAATGAGTTAGCACGGGACGGATGGGGCGAGCGGTCTGGTGTGATCTCATCAATGCGCTGCTATGGTTCGGAAGCGCCGCGTTCTCATCAGTCATGTGCTGTTAAGATATCAAGGGCTTTATCCAGGCGAAACTCAGAGAAAGACAACAAAGAAAGGAGACTAAGAAGACAATGCAGACAATGCGTACAATGGAACTGAGGACAATCTGAGGGTGATAATAACGACTTATCATTGCATTTAGTCGCTAACATGTAGCGAGACTCTATCCCCTACGGAACCAGGCAGATACAAGCGCGTATCGCCATCCTCAGGTAGACTTTGAAATAAACTAGCCGGCCAAAACTGACCGCGGGTGCATCGTTCCTGCCATGCTGCATGGTACCGTGATTTTATGATCGTCATGTGCATCGTCACAGGTCAACTAGGATTTTGCCATTCTACCATCGTAGGTTCCGGGGTATCGATTCTTGTCCCGCCGTTGGGTTTTGTCGAAAACATCGTCCATAGGAACATCCGCCATCTGCAATGTGTGTGTGACTCAAAGTCTCCATCTTCCAAAATCTATTCGAATGATGCCGTGGCGGACAATGAAGCGGGGGATTTCGATTGTTTCAGAGCTGGGGGACCTACGTTTGTTAGGAGCTTTCGCAAGCTCTTATCAATATGGACTAGTGTGTGAGCGAGACAACAATGCGTACAAACAAGGCATGCGAGTAATGAGGGTCGATAAGAACAAAAGTCGCAGTTGTCCTCCGAGTGCTCTCTTACACAGATGTAACTTTAGTCTGTGGCACATTCTTCATTACATAGTATTGGTATGCCCCGCCGTCAACCAACCACCTATGTCAGGAGACATGCCTTTAACACAAATGATGCATACTTTTGAAAGCGACTACGCCCCGAAACGCGTTGTAACGTAACTAGAGGGCTGGCAAGCCATTGCTACAGGACAGCATTTCGCCTGCATATTAAAAGCATGGCTGTATAATCGCCAATCGTGTTGTAGTTACTGGTGGTGATTAGGTCACACGCAGACTCACAAGTTCGTAATTCCATCGTAGTCCTATTTCAGGAGCGGCAGAGATATCGCCCTGCGAACTTTGTTAAGCGCGCTCTGCTTATTATTTGCAGAGACGATCTGTTTTGCTGTATCCCAATTCTCCGAAGCTGCGAGGAAGGTGTCGAGAACCTCTGCTTCGGCTTCCTCCTTTCCTTCTGCTACACGTTGTTCGAACTCGTCCAGCTGCTTATTGCAGTACTCATTGAAATCGAACTTTTGGTCTTCGCTGATCATGGCCAAGTCAGAACGTGCGTTAGCAACGATTTCCTCTATCTCGATGCTGGCGGAGTTATAGAGCTCAGAGGCATGCTCCGAGGCATGCTCAAAGGCTCGATCGATATCTTGGGCGAATGTCCGAGCAAAAGCGCCGGTGATGGTTCTTTTCATCTCTGTGGTAGGCGTCAAACAGCCGCTTAGGGTTCGGTCGTAGCGTGTGGGGACGTTTGGACTTCGAGTGTACGGTGGTGTTGGTGACGAGTGTGGTGACGATGAATGACCTGTACGCATGCCACCAAAATATTCGGCCAACAGACCTGGGAGCGCCTTCTTAACCTCGGACGCGACAGCCTCTTGGAAAAGATTGATTGGAACAGTAGATGTGGAGCTAATCTGCGATGTAGGAGGAGTGCAATCTAAGGAAGGCGAATATGGAGGATGTCGAGAACGCTTTGTTGCAGGAGTATCGTGTGTGGGGCTGGAGCCATCTAGACAATGCGCGTTAGCAAGAGGTAGTGCAGTATTCGACTACAAACCTACCCTTACTGTCTCTCGAGCGCTTGCCCAAGCCTGGCTCTTGCTGATACGGAGGTGGGTCTTGGGTTGCCCTGTCTTGGGCAATATGTTCTCCAGCTCTCGCACCCTCAATGGAAGTATCAACTTCCGGGATAACATCCTGAAGCAAACTGAGGATTGACCACTCGACTTGCCGATACAAATTGGTGAAGTTTGGGAGAACCGGCACCCTAGTGAACTCCTTGGAACCATTGAAAATGCACTGAAACCTTGAATAATTGGTGCCAAGCCAGTTGGTGTCAAAAACAATCCGTACTTGTCTTGCCCGTGCCAATTTTAACAATTTCGGAAAATCAGGACAAACACTGGGAGCATCTTTTCGATGCCATACAGAACAAGGTTGTTTCAAAGTAAGTGACAGTGATCGGGTCTGATGACTTCCGTTCCGCCCTATATCAGTGAGCAATGTAGCTGCGGGAGAGATGTCAAGCTTCGTGAGCGATATCGTGCCAGGCACTAGGTTATCACCTTCATAGCGCAAAAAAACACGTTGCTTGTCGTCAACACCAGTACGCGGCAGAGGATATTCAAGATACAAGCCAAGCTGGGTGTCCGTGTGCGATTTCACAATCCTAAGTAAACACAACCATGGTACAGATGCATCATCAGCAGTATACGCAAGGGCGGAAACGCCTTCCTTGCTGAGAAGATTGTGTAGTACCATTTCGCGTTGTGCTTTCCTAAAGGATGTGTTTACTTACAATGTACCCCTTTGCAACAGAGCATGCGAGATGCAGCAAAGGAAACCCACCCGCCCGGGCTTTCGCGTTGATAGCAAAGAGCAGCCCTGACTCTGTCGCGGCAGCAAGCGCCAGATCGAAGACGGCTAAAGACCAGCCTTGTTCACACAGCCTGAGCCTTGCTTTGGTAACGCCCCTCTGATGCGTGAATCAGAACACAAAGATTGTGAAGCTGATGCGCTGCGTCAGAGGCCTTGCAGTAAGGATAGCGCACGGAGACAAGACGCCAGACAGGCGAAAAGGTAGGGTTAGCGCCTAAGAGTGGACAGGCTGCTTTCGCGAAGGGGGCGGAGATTGAAAGACGGAGAGGATGGTAGTCGATGTTGAGGGAGGTGGAGGTGGAGATGGACGTGGAGGTGGAGGGGGTTGGGGGTTCGCGCTAGAATGCGACGCGATTCTCGGTGCCTGGAAAACTTGGCGCCACGCTAGTACCAAAGCACACTAGCACCATCGGACCCAGGTTGGTTGCTAAATACGCGAGACAGTGCATACTTGCTCACATAACTATGCACTCTATACACACACAGCAAGTTCAACGCGTAAAACAGCTCTTTCGGGTCGCAGCGCCTCAACAGCGGTCTGGATTACTCTCTAATGGACCTCCGCAACATCGCTTAGCGCAAGGGTCGACCAGCATCCGCTAGGGCGCCACCAAGCAGTAACATTAGCGCAACAACTCATTGCAGTGTGAATGGTGTAGAGACACGGTTATTTGACAGGTTCTGATGCCCAGGGAGTGTTGCCAGCATTGACCCAAGTGACCAGAATGTGACTGGGGTTGACAGGTACATGTACGTGGTAATTGAGGCATCTTGAGAGCAAGACTGCGGAAGGCTCTGGTTATGTGGCTCGCTGTCCAAAGTACTAAGTATGGCCGTGCACTTTATGCGCCGAACCTTGGGTACAACCTTGAGGCTGTTGAGCTACTTGCAATTGTTGTTATGACAGCGTTGAATATCGCCAAAGGAAAAAAATTTAGCGACGCTATGGTTCTCGCAATAGTTCCCGGATGGGTGACTCGGCTCTTGAGCCGTTGATTGATAGTTGTGTGACTGATTTGTTCACATTGCACAATGCCAGAACGATGACCATGCGCATCAGAGGCTTCTATACTGTCACGAATTCCGCTATTGTTCTTCGTCGAGCACGGCGTGCGAGGCAGGCACTATAGTCTCAACAGTACAGAGATTGAATATCGATGTGTAGCCTTATCGTCGTGAAGGAAATATGATATTCCGCCCTCTATTTACGCATTGATTGTTCATGTTGGCAAGGGGTCATGGCGATGAGTAGAGTCAGAGGCTGGGCGGTGGGCAGAACCTTTGCATCTATTGTCCCGTTAGTCTTTGTGGGGAAATAAAAGATGAAAGGAGCAAACGAGGTCATTCCGCTTGAGTAATGAAGAGTTGTTTACTGGCCGCCATCAGCATCGTCGCCACACTTATTACCACACCGCTGCTGCTGCTACTACCACTCACACCATCGCAACATAAAATGACATCCACATCGTGCTTGCTCAAGATACCAAAAGCAGTCCTGAAAGTCCAGATCGACAATACATCATTCAGACTCTCTTCACTGCATTCTTCATACTGCAGGATCAACTTGATGAGACAGACGAAGCACAACTATACTTTAAGCAACCACAGTACTACATAACTCCTGAATTGAGTTGGAGGAAGACAATCTCCACAGCTCACACCCCCTTCTTCACCTTCACCCCAATTGATGCGTAAGACATCACATGGCAAGTTGCGCACCCCTTCCTGACTCCACTCGACATGTCACCCTTGCTCAAAGACCATGCTTTTGCTTTGCCTACAAAACCTCGCGTCAAATTACGTTAATCCTGCTACAAGCTATGCTTGCAAAGCCCCTCATGGCTAGGCCATCAATAGTCAGGTACTTTCCCACTCGTCTAGCTCGAGCCTGGGAAAGGCTTCATTCAGAGTTATATCTGTCGGGAAGAAGTGCCAGGTCCATTGCTAGACACCGAAGAACTAAATAACAATCAAGATTGAAGATACAACAACACGTGGGCACGACCCGCAGAGATTAACTCTAGGACCATCAGACTTAATGGTAGGTATAGGCATTGCTGTATCGATAGATAATACCGGCTGAAGATGCATAGCAACTTGGATCGAACCACACAGACATACATCACGCCACCTAACTATAACCGTTCCACACGAATCCTTTAGGAAAGGCCTGCCTTGTAAGAACGAAACTACTACTCATACAGCATGTGCGCTTAACTCAATTTATTTACAGATTACTATTATCACCGTGCATTAATCACGCTAAAGCAATTTAGTTTCAATATAATCATATTTTTGACCAAATACATGAAGTGGCAAGAAAACTATTGGTTAAACGTTAGTTAAGTGTAGGTTTGATTATCTACTAGATGACTAGCACCTATTTTTGGAATAGAGATTTCTATTTCCTAAGTTAGCTGTTTGGCATTGAGCTACTTAAAGCATTGTAGGTTCGCGCTTTCTTGTGCTAAAAAATCTCTCTAGGACTGATCGAAATATGCAGCCAAAGGTGTGATAGAAACTGCACATCTTCTGGGAACGGGGACAGACTTCATACACTGCTCTCATACGCACTGGCGTGAAACACAATCACGCCTATTCATAACATTTCTATGACCATGGAACTTCTACTCACACCCGAGCAGCGCTTAGCAATATAGCAGTCTAAGCAAAAGATCAGTTTATGGACATCATTAGTGCAGGCGATCGAATGCGGAAACACGGCAGAGTTTAGGACATTGGTCGAGAGCCATGAAGTCGATCCAACTCTGCAGGACAATCAAGGCATATCTCTGTTGCACGAAGCGGTACGGTGTCGTGCAGAAGCGATCGTACGGATGTCAGTAGAGAAATATGAAGTCAATGTCAACATTTGCGACAAACGGGGTCGTAATCCACCGTGGCAGGTTGTATCGCCAGTCCATAAGGCTGTCTTTGAGTTGTTGCTAGGCAGCAACAGAGTGGACCCAGATGCAAAAGACAAAAACGGCCGGACTCTATTATGGAAAGCTGCATCGCAGGGTCACAAGGATGTTGTTGGGCTCCTACTAGATGGCGGCAGAGTAGATCCAGACGCAAGAGACAAGAACGGTCGAACTCCGCTATGGGAGGCTGCATCGCGAGGTCACAGAGCTATTGTTGAGTTCTTGCTAGGCAACGACAGGATAGATATAGAGTCAAGAGACGAAAACGGCCAAATCCCATTATCCGCTGCTGCAATGGGCCAAGAGATCATTGTGGAATTGTTGATTTCTAGTGGGAGGGTAGATCCCGACGCCAAAGATGCCCTTGGTCTTACACCACTGGCTTGGGCTTCACAGACGAACCGATCGGCTAGGATTGCAGAGATGTTACTCAGTACCGGCAAAATGGATGCGAATTCTGAGGACAAGCTTGGTATAACACCACTCATGTGGTCTACAACCTCTCACAGCAATAAAGTGAAGGAAATGCTGCTGAATAGTGGTAAACTTGACGAACATATGCCATATAACACCGCTGGCGACGTCGTCTCTCAGTATGTTATGCATTGTATAGAGTCTTGCGACACTCAACAAGGAAAACATTGTCGGCCAGCACGCCTTGAACATAAACTACCTCACCAATTGCCACACTGGGTTATCGACATCAGTCAAGGATGCTTGGTCCCTGAAAACACTGTTTCGCGTTGTATCGCTTTGAGCCACGTATGGTCACAAGACTGAGGCGTTAACGTAACATCGCGTCCATCAGATAGTATTCTGCTGAAGAAGCTCAGCTCGTCAGACTTCGAGACACCTGGACACCTAGAAGAGACATGGACGAAACTTCCCAACGCTGTTAAGGAAGCAATGACTTTGGTTCGCAGGCTTGGGGAAAGTTTCCTGTGGGTTGACTGTCCATGTATTATCCAGGACGACGAAAGCATACACGATCAGGTGAGTTATATGGGCGATATATATTCCGGTGCACATTTGACGATTATATCGGCAGATCTTTATGGTATGCTGCTGAGAACCGCCGATCTTTTCCGCAGCTCCAGGATAGACGACAAGGTAGAGGATCTCTACGACGATCTCTACAGATCCACGTGGGCCACCCGTGGCTGGACATTCCAGGAGCAGATGCTCTCAAAAAGAGCGGTTGTCTTCAGCCAGCGCCAAACATCTTGGGAATGTCAGCAATGTACTTGGAGCGCAGACGGACCAAGCCCGGAAAAGGCCACAAGCGGGAGTACTCCCTTCACGGCTCCACACTAAGAAAAGGCTACTAAACATGCTTTCCAGCACTTACCCTGATTTCGATCTATACACTCAATTGATCAGTCTTTTCAACAGCCGCGTTTTTACCTACTCGCAAGATGTTCTATCAGGGTTTTCCGGTGTCCTGTCAACCCTCGGACGCAACTTCCCTTTTGGATTCTAGTACGGTCTACCTCGTATTTATCCGAATACTGCACTTATATGGTAACCATATCACAGAGCTCATCGTAGAGTAGCAAGAGACGATATTGAAGGTACGATGCCTGCAAAAGCATATCTGCCTTCATGGTCATGGTGTGGGTGGTCTTGTCCTGTCGACCCCTACCATCTGCGAACACGATCGTTATGTTTTAACCAAGACCATCGTAGTTCTCGACTATCTGTTTGGAAAACACAAAAATTCGTACAGTGTTACTCTTTGTCCGGAGATATGCAGCGCCAAGTGCGAGCAGATAGGCCATTGATCCCTCAAGATGGAGCATCTACCCCCCTTTCCAGTCCCACACCGCTTATTGCAAGTCTGGAATACGTTTCTCTGCCTTACGATTGCTGGCCTTTCCCTTCCTGCCAGACATCGTGTCTATCATCATATATCAAGGCTGTCTGCTATGCCGTTCCTGCTCTACTGGGAAAGAAAACGGCAAAACGCATGGCCAAAAGGGGATCGATATTCAAGCTCTCATCTTTCACCAAAGGACCACAACTACAGAATACTTGCGACCTAATCTGTCTTGGAACCCAGGAAGGGCTTTCTGCTGGTACTCTACTCAACATGGAAAGAATGAGCTTAAGCTAGGCGGCATAGTGGAGCTTATAGCCATATCTAAAGGGACCATAAACTCCATCGGTGTTTAAGGTGATAAAGCTGACAAGCTGTATAAGATGAAAATGGAAGCATATGGAGGCGACGGGCCAGTATATACAAGGACTTCCGAGTATCCAGGTCAGTATGGTAGTCGCGCTTGCATATCCTCACCTCAAGCAATGAGTCTCATGCGATGCCGATCTAATAAAATCAAAGAAATCAAGAAAGAGATGGATATGTATGGTATGGAAAGCTCAGAAGGAAAGTATTACCGTTTTTACAACGTACTATGGCTTGAGTGCAAGGGAAGAATAGCATATCGGGGTGCTGTGGGACGTGTACTGAAGGCAATCTAGGATGCAAATTGCACTCCGCCAACAAAGATTACCCTTGGTTGATCAGGGACATTCAATAAACTGGCATATACTCGTGTAGTTGGGTTCTCACATCGAGACCTGGCAATATATGGTTGTTACCATGCTGTGTAAGATCTCCTTACGTACAATTGATATCCTTTAATCATCAAATCCAATATTCTTCAGACCACCTTGTCGTGTCCAGAACGTTTCCCATGCCTTCTGCCATCGCTCCTCCTTCAAACCTTTGAGCCAGTCCTTCACTGTCAAATCCTTTTCGCCATCTATCCGAATGATACCGTCCTTCACACCCTTCCAGTCCTTCATAGGTGCCTTGATATACCGGTGATCTCGGCCGCAGTAACTATGCCATGGTTCCGCTATCTCTCCGCGCGTCTGTGCTAGTCGCTTGGCATGACAGTCTTCACACAGATCACAGTTGACGCAGACCAAGCAATAGTATATTGGCTTGATCCAACTGCTCATGTCTGTTCCACAACCTCCATCACAGAAAATTCCGCTTCCAGTAAGATCCTCATCAAGCTGGTTCAAATCCGCTGCAGTAGCGTCCGGTTCCGACGAGGCGGATTCTTGTGCCTCTCCTGTCTTCTCTGGAACTTCAGCAACTTCTGCAGAGTCTCTCCTTTTGGCCACCGATGGATCGGTAGTAGAGCCCACCATACTCTCCAGTTGGTTATCTCCGAACCCAGTTTCTTCATTCTTCGTAATTTCCATGTCGAGTACTAGGGCATTGTCGGATGCTCCAGTTTTAGTCGTAGGGGCCGTTTCCGCGCCGGGTATACCTTCCTCTTCAGAATTATTTTCTGTATCATGTTCTGCGCTATTGCCATTAGAATCAGTCTCTGAACCGTTGGAGTCACGATTTTGATAGTGTATACTCCGGTCCAGTATCGAAAACTGCGCGGTGCAAGCGATCTTCGCGTCTTTTTCAAGGCCGTCCAAAGAGCCCAAAACCTTGGATAGGAGTCTCAGACTGGAGGAATCGTTCCACGATACACTGTCATCGAGGCCGTTCATACAGGCCGAGAATAGGTCGTTCATGTGTTTCTGATATTCTTTTGCAGGGCCCATGATCCGGAGCATGTTTGCGAGCAGCATACCCACATGAGATTCTTGAAGGTCGTCGTCCACATGAGCACTGGGCAGAGTCCTCAAAGTTTCAATCAATGCTTCTTTCTTCGTTGGATCTGAGCAGTTCTGGAACTCGTGGAACAGGATTTCAGCAAGCTTCAGTCGGTGCTCCGTCTTCTTCTCGTTCATAGTCTCCTCGAACCATGATTCAGGTTTTGGGTTCATGGCTAGGATTTCCTGGCGTAAAGCTTTGCCCTTTTCAATGTCACCCATCACTGGGTAGTACAGATTCGCGATTGCGCCTCGGACATTGAAAAGATAATAGCTCTCCTCAGGTAGAGTCTTGGCCAAAGTATAGAGCCAGCCGAGGAGCAGATCAGTCTCACCCGCCAACTTGGCTGCTCTTTGCATACGAGTAACCGCGGTATTGTCGACCCAACCCTCGAAACAATATTGAAACCAATTGTTTCGCTCCTTTTCTGTCCAGGTTTTCACTTCGTTAATGAGTTTTGAACCATCGGGATCATTTTCTTCCTTAAACAAGAGAGTAATATCATCAAGCCTCGCGCCAGGTAGAGGCATTTCGCCTGAAAATCTTCTTGCTTCATTGTAGATGCGGAGGGCATCTTCGGTCTGTTTCATTTCTTCAAAGGCGCTAGCTTTGGCTGTCAATATGTCCAATCGAATGTCCATGAACTCGGTGTGCTGAGCTTTGGTCAGTTCCTCTACGTCTGGGTCCGGCAACATGTCGTATGCTTGGTTGTAGTACTTGATCGCCTCCGGATGCTGATCGATCCACAAATATTTTGGTGCAAGAAGGCGAAGGGTTTGGATCTTTTCTTGGTTGTCGCATTCCATGCGCTCGACGGCCTGCTTGAGGTACGAAGCTCCTTCAGTCAACATCGCCTTCTGACGTTCTGCGTCTGAATAGTCATATCCGTAATCACACAATGTGGCGCCGATGGCTCTCAAAGTCTTGTAATCCTCAGCGGGAACATCATACTGCGAAATGATCTCTTGAACGAGCTTGAGTGGCTCATCATCTGTTGTTTGTAGCCGATTGGCCTGCATCCGATTAGAACAGTAATGATCATAGCACAAGGGCACTTACCAATCGAAGAGCAGTTTTGACGAATCGAAAGGTCTCGGGTATCCACCACTGAGTGTTAGCATCCAACCAATTTTGAACATGTCCTTTTGCCAACAAAAGTAAGACATTATCCTTGTTGACACCACGCGCCCATGCTTTGACCTCACTATCCATAGATTCATCTGCGAACGAGGATGCCTTAGCTGCCCAAATCAAGAGTGTATCGAACCATGCTGAAGGTGTGTCGTCTGTTCGTTCGGGGTAAAGGTCTGCATGTCTTGCTCTTTCTTCGAACAACTTTGCAACATTATTCGTGTTTTGCGTTATGCTGTACAACAAAGTGACCACTTGGCAAATCGTTGCATCTGTCGACTTCTCAACGTCCAGCTCCTTCAGATGCTCGTACCAGTATTGGATCGCATACAGCGATAGTCCTGAACTTGCTTGGTCTTCCGGATCTTTTGCTGCTTTGATCATAATATCTGCACACATCTGTAGAATGGTGAGGTGTGCCGCAGAAGCAGGTGTCCGGAATTCTTCAGTGCCATCAGCCTCAACGCTCACGCTCTTGAAGTACTGTCGGAGAGAGCGATCTTGGAATGACAGAGGCGATTCTCGATATCCAAGCTCAAAACCAAAATCATCCTTCGCGTCGTCGCTCTCATCGTCGTCTTTGTCATCTTCTTTCGTGTCCTCTTCTGTCTGCCGGATTTGTGTAAGTTCAAGGATACGGGATGAGCGCCCGATGATTTCTTCCTCGATATCGAAAGAGCTGTCTGATAGCGTCAACTGCACCAAGTTCGAGGCTTCTGCCAAGCTGAGTGATCGCTTTGAAAAAGCCAGCCATGCAAAAAGCTTCTTTAGCGCTTGATATTGAGCATCAGTCCGATTGTGGCGGCACTCGTCCAGAAGAAGTTTGTAAAGATCATGCAAAGAGTCCGGCAGCTTTTCCAGTTCTTCCAAGACAGCTCGCTCTCGTCCAATATAGGAGAACCTTCGCAGCACATGCTCAGCATAGAGCATACTGTCCGCTTGTTTGACGACTTTGCGGGTAATGGCTCTTTTCACGGCGTGGCTGAATTTTCGCACTCGTGGTAGTGAATGAAGGCGACTCTTCGCCAGCGCCTTGATGTCCGGCTTCATCTCTTGCTTGGTGACATCAATAACGGGTGGGTCGAACAGCTGTATGATGGGTTTCTCTTCTGGCCTGCTCGTCAGCAATACCGAAACGTTAGCGTTCTCGAGCCTCAAGTCGGATAGAAACTGCGTCATGATGCCACCCTGCTGGATGTGAGCCTCGTCTAGGCCGTCTAGGACAAGGAAAAGCCGACTGTCAGACTTTTCTTTACCTGGAAACATTGCAATGCAAAACCGTTCCCAGGTTGATATATCTTCTGACTGTGCAGCATTGTCCCTGATATTTGCTGCTACTTGCTCCGCATACTTGTTGTTCGATTCGGCAATTTGAAGTGCGGCTGATGCAAAAGCATTCTGTACTGATTGCAGGTATGGGTGTTCCTCTTTGAAGTAGAAATAGGCAAAGCTATTCTTCTCATTTTTGAGTAGGCGTAGTCCTTGAACAGCGGAGAATGCCAGGAAGGATTTGCCGATACCCTCATTGCCTCTTAGCCAAAGCAACGGATTACCTCCTTCTGCCCAGGTCTTGAAGTTTGGGTGTTCGTTCAGCCATTTTGCCGTGTGTTTGACCTGAGAATCTCGCATGTCTTCGTCTTGCGCTAAGTTCTCCCGGTGGGCGTCGGTCCATGATGGGAAAGTTGTGTAATTTTCTGTAAGAAACTTCTTGATCTCTCGCAGGGCCTGAAACCTGCGATCACCGCTGTCACCCTTTGACTTTCCACTTTGCTTCTTCTTCTCGTCATGCTCTGGTGTCTTCCCCAGCTTCTCAACCGATTTTTGAAGCTGAAGAAGCAGAGCATGACTTTCATTTTGCTTCGTCTGGACTGCAACAAACCCTTTGCTGACTACAACTTCTAGCTTCAAGCTGCTCATGTAGAGCTGCTGAATATCTTGTCCCAAACTCGAACGAAAGGAACGTAGCTTTTCATCCAGCTCATCGAGCTTAGCAGCGTTTGCTGATGTGTCTTCTTGTACCGCATCGAGTTTGTCATTTCCTGTTTTCACCTCATCCTGAACGGTCCTGATAGAGCTGTAAGTTTCGTATCCGACCGTTTGGTTGAGTTCATCAATCGATGCTTGCATGGCAGCGAATGTAGCTAGCAGCTCTTGGTCTTCCATATTCCAGAGCGCATTGAGCCATTGTGCTACGAGTCATCAGTTTGGTCCACTAGATGGGTGTAGTCCTTACAAAAACGCTTCTTTTTGATCAGATATCGCACCCTGCCACATACAGATAATTGCATAGAGAATACCCGGACAATAGCGATAGCAAGTGGTCCGGATTCTGCTCGTTGTTCAAGAAGGGATAGCCGCTCAAAGAATCGACCTGAATACTCAAAGAACGATTCAACCCGATCGTAGTCAGCTTTCACTCCGGCGAAAGCCTGCTTTCATTAGTCTAAGGTTGCATCGCAATGTAATGATACTTACTGATATCAGGCGGCTTGCTGCCGTAAACACAAGCCCTACTGGCATGGCTGGTGGAAACGCACCAGCAGCTGCACCAATTACAGCAATGCCGTCAATACATTTCTGCATGTCGCCAAGTGAATTGCCAATAGCCGAACGGAACTTTGATGTTTTGCTTCCATCGTGACGAAAACCTTTAAATCTCTCCATGCCATCGTCCAGACTTTTCATCGCTCCATCCAAACTTTGTGCACCCATGGACGAGAGATCT